AAACGGCCACGGGAAGGTGTCTCCGATGATGATTTCCTTCCCAAAAAGAACAAGGGCGACGGTACTTTTGTTTCGCCTAGCCCCCTGTCCACTTCTTCCGGCACCCAGCATATCACTCCTGCTACTACATCCGGGGTCTTGGAGTTATCCCACCCGGATAGACTTGATTGTGAGGGAGAAGAGCCTAGGGACCAGTCTGCGCTCAGGAAACCCATAACGCAACCCCAGACTGAGGCGCCCAGTTCCTCGCCACACATCGCAACCAGTCCCCAAGTAACGGAGGAAGAAGGGATGAGGCAGAAAGAACCAGAGTCTTCCCCTACAGTAGAGAGGGAGGTTGAAGTGCAGACAGAAACGGAAGTCTCCCTCCCGGGGAAGGATGAAACCGGAGAGCAGGGGAACGCTGAAGCTCCTTCAGAGATGGAGAGAGAGACTGAAAGACAATCAGAGCCGGAGGGACAGTGCTCCACGGCCACATTCTCGGCCCCTAATATTCCCATCCGGCGCAGGTTCACGCCACAAACTTACCCCGCTTTCGTAGAGGGTTGGGAAGGCTTTTCCCGCGGTTTGAGATCCTTACAAGCTTCCCATTGGACTATCCAGGGGAATCTAGAAAGGATGAGGGGATCAGTACAAGAACCCACAATTCCCCAAGCTCGCCCTGATCTTCTTGCCCTCAATGCCCTGCACCTCATGGAACAGGTACCCTTCCTTTTCAACAATCTCTTTACCTCTTTCTGGGTTAGTTCTTTTCCTTGACTTCCCTTTCCTTCTTTCAGGCCCAGCAATCACTCCTCACTTTGACTGGCCCACCTTAATTACGCCGGGCCCAACTCCCATTAGCCCAATAATAAGATGATGCAACCCTAGTTTGCCTCGGGAATCCGCAACTAACTCCCAATCGGATAAGCACTTTGACTACGCGTCCCTTGCGCTTCTCTTTTGGGATTACTCGCCTATTTAAGGGACTAGGCTGGACCCTTCCAATATCACAATCAACTTCTCAACATGGCTAATAACGCCAATAGAGTTGTCTTTATTGATCTTACTATTTCTGATTCTTCTTCTGATTCTTCTTCGTTGGCATTCCCTTCACTTGGGTCCCCAACGCCTGAACTTTCTTCTGGGTCTTCTCTTGCCTCTGAACAATCGGTGACTTCTCCCTTACCTAGGGAGGAGAATCACCCTCATCATCCCCCACGGGTATCCGGGGATATTCTCCCGGGTTCCGGCATGCTTTCAAACGGGGCCAAGACGGAGGTACCTTTTGACTGTCCTGGCACGTCCCGTCCGCAAAAGAGACACAATCCTCACTCAGGAGCTTCCCGGTCGGTCTCTGGTACGAGGCCTTCTTCCCAGGGTCCTCCCTTCCCTCAGCCGTCCTATGGGCAGCAGCCCGAGGAGTGGGGGGACTACGACATGGGGGGAAACATGCTCACATCTATACGGAGGGAGAAGGATGGGGCCTTCCGGGATCCGCCTCCTCCTTCCGTATAAGCGGAGATAGGCCTGGAGTCTTTCCCTCATGCCCTATCGTCCTCCTGGTCTGACTTCAAAGAGATGACCGGATGGTGCCGACGGAGGGAACGTCTTTCAATCCCAACCCGTTGGTTCGGTTTCATATCTTTTGAATGTCATCAAGGGAGACCGTTGGGCGCCCTCACGGAATGTCTGGATGGTTTCCGCGGGGATGGCTTTAGATCCGACCCGTTGGTATCATTCTGCTTCTTGTGAATGTCATGAAGTGTCTTCAGCGGACACTCTCCATGCCTTCATGCCTTGAGGTTCTCTTCTGGTTCAGGCAGGGAAGCAAGGGCCAGCGAATTCACCCCTTTATATTCCTGAAGTGTTGATCCGCCTTGCCTTCAGTTTTTCTTTCGCAGTAGGATAGAAGTAGATCAGGGACAAAGTTCATCACTGTAACCCAAAAGAATGTAATTTTCCGTTTGAGTTATCTAATGAAAATCTTTATCTCCCGTCTTTTTCATTTCGTAGTTAGATCAGGGATAAGGCCCATTACTCTAACCCAAAAGAATGTAACCTTCTATTTGAGCAATTTAATGGAAAAAACCTTTATCTCCTGTCATTTAATATAATTTCGTTGCACGTGCCGTCATCTGCATGGAGTAGAAGTCTAAGTATATTTAACTCCTTACCTTCCACGGACGATGTCACTCCCTAAGCGCAGATGGGCCCACTTAACTAGGCCATGCACTTAAGTGGCGAGGGACCCCTGG